GGGTGGGGCGGGGCCTGGCGCGCGGCGGGGCGGGGCCGCCCGACCTTCGGGACCTCGTGGGGGCGCGCCCCTGCGGACTCCTCCAGCCGGGTCTTATCTGCGCTCTCCCGGCCGGGTCTAGCAACTGCGACCGCGGCTTTTTCATCACCTCTTAGGGGGGAAGGGGGCCCAGCCCAGCCCAGCCCTAGCCCCGCTCTCTGACCCGTCCGACCTGCCTCGGCTGCGCCATCCATTCGGGTTCCGCTCCCCCACCTAAGGTCCGCCAGGTCCCGGGAACGGGCCCGGAGCTAGGCTCGTGTTCTACCTGGCCGCCCGGACCGCTCTCCAGCTGGATGCAACTTTCTCCAAGAGCTCCTCCTCGCCCCAGGCACCCGAGCCCTTTGAGCTTCCACGTCTGCGCGCCCCTTAGCCCTTGTACCTTTTCTCTATCGCCTCATGGGGACGGGAGGGGGGGTGCGGCTAACACAGTGGGGTGCCCCTGTCCTGGAGTGGAGTCACTGCGCGCACGCCCGTCTTCCCCGGGAGGGAGGCTCAAGAGGAATGCCTGTCCCCTCCCCCTCCCGCAACAGGAAACAGGCCGCCCACGCCCCCAGCTTGGAGGGGCCACTGCGAGCCTTCCCAGACGACAGGGCTCCCACGAGCCACGGGCTCCCTGGAGCCCACTACCTCCCCCTCGCTGCCTGGGACCAAGTCCTTGGCCTCTCCAACTCCGTGTCTTCATCTATGAAATGGAAATAACACGTGTCCTCCACCCCACCCCACTCCCCCCGCCCAGCCCACTCGGGGACTGGAAGGAGTGAGAGTGTTACTGCCTTCAAACAGTTTAACCAACCGGGCTTCAGTCCCACCCAAGCCCGCCGCTGGAGCCCCAGGACGGGACTCCCCCGCAGGTGGGGATTTCCACGACAATCGGACTCCCCGAGCAAGGGGTGGGGTGGCTTGGAAAAAGAAAAAAAAAGCCACACCAAAACGTGCGAAGGCAAGACCTGTTAGGTGATAGGCACTGTGTAAGGTGATTGTGGACAGCAGTTTAGTGAGTCCCACGTGGAGGTGGCATGCTGGTTAGGCGTCACCTTCGCACCGGTGACAACCCCGGTTGTGAACGTGGGGCGGGCGGCTGCCTTTGAAATAGTTGGGAACTATTTAAGCTGAGCTCTCCCGCATGGTAGAAGAGGCCGGGCTTGGTGAAGTCAGAAGGAAAGCCCCGGAGGTGCCCTGTTAGAAAGTGGAAATGGTCCCCCACGAGAAGGAACGCGATGGCATGCTTGCACGTGCTACCTTGAGGTCTTGGTGCGGGAGTCCGCTTTGGGGAGGGTTTTCGATGGTTGGTTGGTTGGTTGGTTGGTTGGTTGGTTTCCTTTATGAGGGCACCGGGGAGCCATGGAGAATGGTGAGGAAGGGAAGGCCCAGCTGAGCTCAGCCACAGAGCCCCCCCGGGGGTGGTGGTGTCCCCAATCGGAAGTGTCCCCTAGAAGGACGCAGCATCTAAGGAGGAAGGAGGGCGCTTCGGTGACGTCTTAGCCCGACTGGCCCGTCAATACACTCCTTCCAACACCTGGCTCCAATGCAGCCGGGTGGCTGCAGCCTGGCTATGGCCAGGCGCGCCCGCGCGCGGAGCATCAGGTACTGGCAGCCTTTGCCAACTGGTGGCTGCAATCTGCCAGCCGCAAGCACTTTCCCTCTCGCAGGCGACTGCAGCCCCGCTGAGTTAAATGGGGACTTGTGGTTCTTCCTCTTTTTAATCACAGGCCAGCCCTGCCTGCCAGATTTCCTTCCTCGACCCGCGGGGCCCGCCCCAGTCCGGGTTCCCTGAGAGCCCTGCGCAAGTCAGAGTCTTCTGTTTATTTACATTTTTTCTTTTTCCCTTCGAAGGGCAAAGGGGCTCCAAGGCCATTGCTGCTGCGCCCTACATTGAGACCCTGCGGATGACAGCAGCGACTCGGGGTTCTGCGCCCCTTGGGGACCGGGCTCCTCCCACCCAGCAGGGAGGGCTCGAAAGCGGGGGTGGGGGGGAGGGGGGGGAGACAGAGGACATGCCAGTTCCCACAGCTGGCGAGGACTGCCGGAAGCGGGCTGACCACTCCCAGGGGCCGGGCCACCCGCCCTTCCTTCCTGCTGAGGGCTGACAAGGGGCCACAGGGTCCACCTGCCAGGGACCCAGGTGGCCAGGTCAGAAGGACAACCGAACCTCGTCTAGCAGGTTCTCTTAACAGGGTCACTGACATAATAATCACCTTACTATCAGCCAGGGGTGGTGGGTGAATAGGACATCATATGTTAGAGGCTGAGATAGGAGGATCAGTTCAAGGCCAGCCTGCCTCAGCGACCTAGTGAGTTGGAGACCTTCCCCGGCTTCATGAGACGAGGTCTCCAATCAGACAAACCCAACAATATCAATGAAAGTTAACCAGAGCCGAGAGGGTATGAATACGTCAATGGCTCAAGCCATTCATATTGTTAATATGAACAGCAACTAACACTAACCGGGTAGGACCTGGAGGATGGCACAATAGGTCAAGTGTGTGGTGTGCAAGCATAAGGAACTGAGTTCAAGCCCCGGCACCCACGTAAAAGCCAGGGAGGACCCCTGGGGCTTGTAGGTCAGCCAACCTAACCCCATCACACTGGTTAGTTCCATGAGATACTTTGTCTCAAAGAAAAAAAAAAGTAAAGTGGACAAATAATAATAATAAAGGGGAAAAAAAGGAAGAAATCATGTGTGTGTGTCCAATGCCTTTACTCACAGCACATGCGTCGTGGAGGGAAGTGGAACTCTGAATTTGAGGCCAGCCTGGTCTATATAGTAAATTCCAGGCTAGCCAGGGCCACATAGTGAGACCCTGTCTCAAGAAAAAGGAAGTGAGCAAAGATTGACCGCTTGAAATGCACCCGCTGGTCACAAACCCAGGCCTACCACTGTGCTACATCCCTCGCCTTGAGGCAAGGTCTCGTCGATTTGCCTGGGCTAGCCTTAGTCTTAGCCCAGGAAGGCCTTGAACGTTTAATCTTCCTGCCTCGCCCTCCTGAGTAGCTGAGATAACCCTGTGCTTCCAGGGTTGGGCTTTGTTTGGGGTTTTGAGACGGACTTTTTCTGTGTTGCCCAGGTGGCTTCAAACTTGTCATCCTCCAGCCTCCACCTCGCCAGTGCTGAGGGTTCATAGGTGTGGGCCTCCAAACCCACCTTGCGCTTATCGTTTTCAATGTTAATTGAAATGTGTAGCTCATCCTGGCATGATGGCTCACATCTGTAATCACAGCACTCTGCAGGCAGAGAGGCAGGAGGATCACCCTGAGTTCTAGGCCAGCCAGAGCTACAAAGTGAGACTCTGTGTCAAGAAATAGACTAAATGTGCAGCTGGTGTGCTGGGACATACTTTTAATTCCAGCAGTGGGGAGGGCAGAGAGAGCACTTCCGTGTGGGCATTCCAGCAGCTTCTCCAAGAGGCCACATGCCACCAGCCAGCAGGAGCAATGATGGGGGGGGGGCATCTTTCTTTTTTAATTCATTCATTAATTTACTTTTTCTATTATCGGCTTGATACAGTACAAATTCTTATCCTAATAGTGAAATGTTTCATTGAGGCTTGCCCAGTGACTGAGTAAAACCAAAACTTATTATAAGCCACAATCACCCTAGGGTCCCCCCTGCTATATAGCCTCGCTGGTTCTGTGGGTTGCAGTCTGATTGTTCTTTGCTTTATATCTAGTAAACATTTATGAGTGAGTACATACCATGACTGTCTTTCTGGGTTTGGGTTACCTCACTCAGGATGATTTTTTCTAGTTCCATCCATTTGCCTGCAAATTTCATGCTGTCATTGTTTTTCTCTGCTGAGTAGTACTCCATTGTGTATATGTACCACATTTTTTTCATCCATTCTTCCGTTGACGGGCATCTAGGTTGTTTCCAGGTTCTGGCTATTACAAATAGTGCTGTTATGAACGTAGTTGAGCATGTATCTTTGTGGTATGATTGAGCATTCCTTGGGTATATGCCCAAGAGTGGTATGGCTGGGTCTTGAGGTAGATCAATTCCCAATTTTCTGAGAAACGGGGGGCATGGGGGGTTTGGGGAGGTGGGGGGTGGGGGGTGGGGGGTGGAGGGTATCTTAGGAAGGGTTAGCCAGGCCCTGTAAGAGGACCCACCAAAGGCAGTGCCAGCAATCCCCACTTTTGTTTTTTGTTTTTGTTTTCTGGAGTGCCTTGCTGTGTAGCCCAGGCTGTCCTCAAGCCTTGTCCTCAGCATCCCAAAGACTAGGTCTTACAGGTGTATGCTCCCATGCCTGACTTCCTGCCCTTTTAAAAATTACTATTTATAAAGAGAAACAAATGAAATTATATATGAAAAAATAAATTATATATGTCTGAAATTTGCAAAGAATAAATTTAAAATATTAAGAAAATAGCCGGGCGGTGGTGGCGCACGCCTTTAATCCCAGCACTCAGGAGGCAGAGCCAAGCGGATCTCTGTGAGTTCGAGGTCAGCCTGGGCTACCAAGTGAGTCCCAGGAAAGGCACAAAGCTACACAGAGAAACCCTGTCTCGAAAAAACTAAAAAAAAGAAAAAAAAGAAAAAAGAAAATATTTATGGGGATGGAGAAGATGGCTCAGCAGTTAAGAGCACTGGCTGC